CTCTTCTGGGTATATATCCAGAGGAATGGAAATCATCATGTCAAAGAGATACCTGCACTCCAGTGTTTATTGCAGCTCTGTTTACAATAGCCAAGATATGCAATCAACCTAAATGTCCATCAGTAGATGATTGGATAAGGAAACTGGTATATATACACTATGGAATATTACTCTGCCATAAAAAAGAATGAAATACTCCTATTTGCAACAACATGAATGAACTTGGAGAAACTTAAGTTGAGTGGAACAAAGCACAGGGATAAATACTGCATGTGCTCACTCATGTGGGAGCTAAGAGGGAAAGAAGGAAGGAAAGACCGCAGTGGTGCCATGATCCAACAGAGGGAGGGAACATTCCTAGGGCTACAAATTGGAGTGTGGGGGGGGTTGGAGGATAATTGGGAGGGGACAAAGGGTACAAAAGTAATGTCTGGTAATGGATATGCCACCGGTATGAATCTGGCTCCCACATCGTGGACAGGAGGGGGGACAATCAGTTTTGTATCTCATGAATATTCGTAATAAATAAATAATTTTTTTTTTTAAAAAGGATCCATTTCAAAGGATTGGCTCTTTCAGGGTTCATACCAAGAAGATATGTTCACATACTAACCCTTGGAAGCTGTCCATGTGACATTTGGACAAAGGTCTTCGTGGACGTAAGTTAAGGATCTCAACATGCGATCATTGTGGATTATCCAGGTGGGCTCTAAGTCCCATGACAAGTGCCTTTATAAGAGACATACTGAGGACAGATACAGGGAGAAGGAGGAAGAGGCCATATGAAAACAGGCAGACACTGGAGTTATGTAGCCATAAGCTAAGGGATGCGTGGAGCTGCCAGAAGCTGTAAGAGGCAAGGAAGGATTCTCCCTTAAAGCTGATTTCTTGATTTTGGACTTTTGGATTCCAGAAGTCTGAGAGAATAAATTTCTATTATGTTAAGCCACCAAATTTGCGGTAATCGTTGTAGCAGTGCTAGGAATCTGATATGGTGCCTACTGAGTATCTGGCACATTATAAGATTTTATGCACAGAAAGCTGGGTCCTTTTTCTACAAGTGAACCAGCCAGGACTGCTAGGCAAGGGGGAAATCAAAGTTGGAAAAAAATCAAATTACATTCTAATGCGTGGAGACAGGTGATAGACCATACTTAGTATGTTGTTGGATGGTGATAGGTGTTATGGAGAAAAATCAAGGGTAGGAGTTACTATTTTGAACAGGATAGAGATCACTGATTGGTGTCATCTGAGTGGAGACCTGACTGCAAGGAGGCAGACATTGCAGAGACAGGGGCAAGAGCTTTCCAGGCAGAGGAAACTGCAAGTGTAAGGGCCCTGAGGCCACAGCATGATTTGTGTGTGGAGGGAATTCAGCAAGAAGTCAGAGGAAGCATGGGGAAGGGAGGAGGAGAGGCCAGAGACTGGTGAGGCTCCAGGTCATATATAGGGTCTCGTAGATGACTGTAAGAAGTGACTTTGAGTCTGAGTGAGGTCAGAAGCCATTCTTCACCGGAGAGATTACAGATCCGGTCCAAGTTCCCAGAGCTAAAGGGTAGAGCCAGAATTTGAACCCAGGTCAGCGCAATTCTAAGGCCTGTGTTATCTCTGGGACACTCAGCCCAACTTCCCAAAGCAGAACCTCTCCCTTAATATATAAAAGTCCAAATAATTGTAGAACTCATTGTAACTTTCCAAGTACTTATTCAGCTCTTACCCTGTTGGATCCTAATGAGTGATAGAGTCGGGATCTGCCAAACATTTTGATGATCAGACCAGTGCCAACCAGGGCTCCTTACTGTCCACTGCCTACCTGTCACCTAGCTTTCTGCTGTGCATTGATTCCTAATGAAGAACATCTCATTCTGTACCCACCACCAGTCCTGAAATTTGGCAGTGGCGACTCAGGAATTCAGACCCACCTTAGTGGTCCCTGGGTTAACTTGTTTTAAATTCAACGCCAAAGTTCCATAGTTCTTTAAAATTATGCCAGGTCAGAGTGTTGTATCTGACATGGCCTCTCGGCACTCTCACGTCCTGGGAGATGGGAGATTTCAGGAGCCAGGGTCACACAGATTCAGTGTGTGTGAGAGCCTGG